AGACTTAAAATCTTTTTATTTTTCATAGTCATACATCTCGATGTTCAAATGATCAATCAAAAGGTTTTTCAACATTAAAACGACCATTTCCTATGGATTTTTGAGGAGCATCCATAGTTCTACATTATAAGGTAGCATCCTCATATAAACTTTTTCCATTAGATATTGGTTTAGTCAGATGAATAAGTCATTTATGTTATTTTTATAACAATAGATATAGGACAATTATCACAATTACAATGAATTTAATTTACTTGTAACTAAATTAAATCATATTAAATTAACTAATATTAGGGTAATTACCAATAATATCCCATATTCTAATAAATTTTAAAAATACCTAACATTTAACATCTCTGCCTATACCTATTTTAAAAATTGTAATAAATTTTTATTAAAATTTCTTTCACAATTTTATTAGAACCGTGATGTTCCAAGCTTAGCACTCACGGCCCAAGTCATTTTATAGATCACCATGGTACTAATAGTATCATGATGGTGCAATGTCCTAAAACGACCATCACTGCTTTATTAGTGTCATAATGATTTAAGTTTCTTTGGACCATCACGGTACTAAAACCATTGTGATAGTTCTTGATGGACTGGAAAAGAACATTAAACCATGACGATATCATTGGTAGCCCGTGATGGTCTAACAAAAAACCTGAGGCGTGAGAATTAGGCGTTGGACCATGATGGTTCTAATAGAATTATAAAGGAAGGTGTGAGAATTAAGCGTTGGACCGTTCTAATAGAATTATAAAGGATATTTTATGTATATATATAGCGAGAGGAAAAAGCTTGGGTGAGCCCACTAGCTCACAGGAAAAAATGAGTCTCATGGTGACGATCAATGATGTCTAGTAGTGTTTGAATTTTAATATGTTTTTTTTACAAATCCAAATCAATTGAAATTTTAGAAGTGTGTTCTTCTTATCAAGTCGCACCTAATAAAAATATAAAAAAAAAAAATTCGTAAAAAAACAATTGACCAAAATACTCCTGAAATTTTTTGGAAGAATTTTGGTCAATTTATTTCATATAAAATATTTTTTTGATATTTTTCGAAGATTCATCTATTTTTTTACATACACACGCTCCAAATTTCAAGTGATTTGGAGAAAAAAAAATTAAAATTCAAATAGTATCAGATATATGTGATCGTCAAATCGGCCCAAATTCAATTTCGGCTGTTGGGCTCATTTTTTCCTATGAGCTAGTAAGCTCACCCTAACATCTTCCACACACATTATATATATATATATATATATATATATATATATATATATATATATATATATAGTAGTATATATAGTATATATATATATATATATATATATATAT